TGATATTTCAACACTGCAAGATTTATTCCTCTACTATGAACCAATACGGCCTTTGTTTAAGTTGAAGTTTCGGGGAGTCTTGTCCTTCTAAATGTCACTTTTAATGAAAACTTTATTAACACATACTCTGTTATAAGCAGGTTCATAACATGAAGTTATCTTTAAAAAAATAATAAAATAATCACATGCTATTTTCATGCCAAAACATTTTTAGAAGCCTGCATCTGGGTTTATAATAGAAAAATCATCAGCATCTCACTACTGACAGTTTTCTTCTGCCATTTTACAGACAGAGAAAATACATGATAAAACATTTGATTTCTAAATGCCATAGTTATAAAATAACTTTAAACAAAATATGTGAGAATTAAGTTTTTTGTAAGATTGTATGTGTGACGGTTATGCAAAATCTAGATTAATCTATGTTAGACTAGGAAGAATTGAATATAAGGTTGGCAGTGCAAGATGTTCTGAAATGTATTGTTTTGTATTAAAATAAATTTGGCTTGAAAAGGATTATAAAGTAAAAGAAAATACAAGTAGGAAAGAAGAGTAAGAAGCAAAGAAAGAAGGGTAATTCTAAAGCACTGCCCTTTCTGAAGAACAAACTATTACATTAACTCAAAATGGCTTTACCAGAACGAATAAAAAACAGATCAGAGTCATGTAACCATTATATGATATAATAAAATATATTGCCATTGCTATTGACTATATCTTGGACTAAGTATTATCTTGTAAAAGAATTCTGATGAGATTATAATCATTTGAGCTGCCTAACTGTGTTAAGTAACTTCTTGAACAACATACAACCAAGAAACCGTGAGGAATGTTGTACAAAATAACCATGGATATTCTGAATTTATAATGGATATTCTGGAAAACAGGTAGTTATTAAACCTGGCTAAAGATGCCAAGCTTTAAATACTGTAGTTGAAGTGTGTTGTGGAGAGCACTTCAACATCTGCATGTAATTCTGGCAAATATCATTTGGGTGGCAGACAAAGGTATAGTGATAACTAATATAATTTCTGGTTTTATGTTCTATTGGATATGCTTACATTTTCCTGAAACTTTTACCTGCTATGGAGGTTTTCCATAAATGGTTTAAGAGTTGATTTTATTTCTTATTTTTTTTAGAAATTGAGGAAAAATTGCTTTGGATTTTATTGGGTTTTTTTTAGATGCATGCAAAAAAAGAGAAGACTGATTCTTGATGAAGACTTTTTTCCTTACCTAGAAAGGTTAAAGAACTTGGCCAATGAAGCAGAGCCTGAACTCTGCTACTTCACGTTTTCTGCACTTGCCTACAGTACAGTCTGCAGCTAGACGTTGTAGATTCCACTGGTGTAGACCTGGACTAGGCCAAGATCTGGAGTAATTTTTGCTGTCTGTTTTACACTACTTCTCTCAATAAGCTAAAAATAAGCAAAGGCTGCCTGTTGGGAGCCTAAATAAATCTTGAGATCTTGATTTTCTCTGCCAAGGCGGTATCACCTGAGGATGTGGAGTTTTCATGCTTCAAGCCAACAAACTGTTGTGTGGATTTGTCTTATTTCAGTGCTGTGGGCACGGTTCTTCTTGTTATTTATACTACAGCAGGACATGAATTTTCCAGGCACAATTATGGTGACATGGTGCTGGAGACAGTGCAAACACACGGTAAAAATCAGCACCTGCTGTCATAGGTTTGCAGTCTGAACAGACAACACACAAAGTCCAAAGGCACAGAAGGGTGAGAAGCCTGATCCAAGGTGAAGAGACTGTGTCTTACATTGCAGGTTAAACATATGCCTGAGCCCAGGGCTGTGGCTTATTTAGTCTTTTACCTCTCTGTAATCGTGTCCAAATTAGTCAAAAATTAAACATTCATGTCAGCTACCAGGTGCTGAATAACAACTGAAAAGTGCACAGAATAATTTTCTAGGGAATTAGCTTAACAACAGTGATTTAAATCAACTTTGGAAAGTTTACAACAAAACGAAACAGTGGGGAGCTGAAGCAGCTGTTGCTCACTGCTTCTTAGCTCAGCTAGTGCTCCCCATCATCCTGTTTATCCCAGCATGGGATAAAATTCAGGCAGATCCAGTCACCTTTTACCTGAAGCCATGAGACCTTCTGTGAAGTGTCACATCTTGAGAACGTTAATAGTATGGATGGTTTAGAACCAAATTCACAGTATAAACTTAACTATTCTGCCTGTGAACTGGAGCTGGAAAACCCTCTAAATTTGCTAAATTTGTCTGGTCCCTAGATTTTCTCCATAAAAATTCTTAGTATTTTAGACAGATGATCCAGTAGCAAATCTGTCCTAGCACCATTTAGGAGTTGTCCATGGCCATTGCTGTCTGTGGAAGGGGTGTAGAATGGGCAGCAGTTTACTCCAGATGGGTAATTATCTAAGGGCACACACAGAGGTCCTAATATAAATAAGAAAGAAATCCTTGAACTAAGATTATTTGCAATTATAAACTGAGATTATACTGAAGACAAACCCAGGATCAATAGCACAAGTGCCTTTTAACTCAGATGTACTCTTGTTGGTGAGCAGTGCAGATTTTGTAAACCTGGGTACAAGAATACCACAGTCTGAATATTCTCCCAGCTGATTACAAACAAGCAGTTACTATATTCCATGGGATATATCCTGTCTGTATTTTACTAGTTTGTGTAACATGGTCTTGAGGCAAGAATGAATTGAATAAACTCCCTCCACTCAACATTTCCTGTTCATATGGGTTTCACACTTAAAACATTTTAGTTTTTCATTTTCTTATTTCTTTTGTGTTTATGCCCAGTGTGACTTTCAAGTGTTTTGATTTTAGTAATGCTTTGTCAATCTGTCTTATTATATTCATGTTTCTGTTTTTCCTTTGTGAAATTAATGTCAAAGGAATTTAACTTGCATTGGGAGACTTAATAGGTAATAGATACCACATGAAATATGACTGGAATAACTAAGAACTTGTTAGAAGCCAGAAAAAACTATCATCGATGTTTTGTTGTAATGATTTTTCACTGCTTTATAAAAGCATGCTGTATGGACTGGAGATTCAGCTTCTGGCTGCAGTGTGATCTGGTCAGGACTCAGCGATATATATTCTATTCAAAAAAGATGTTCATTAATTTGATTGAGATACTAAGTCCTTTGGGACCTCAGCCTCACAGTTGTGTACAGATAAGAGGGCTTGGCTATGTTGCTGGAAGATGAAAAAAAATTGCCTGTGTTGGGCAATTCATAGTTCAGGCGGAGTTGCCCCTGCCATTAGAGCCAGCGGACAGAAGTGTTCTAGTAACCTGTGCTGCCCGTGATTTTTATACAAAGGAGCTAAGGTTGTCTTTGTGGAGGGCCAGGGGCTCACTGATTGTGTTTTACCAAATGCACTGTACTATTAAGAAAACGAACACTTGAAGAAAACTGAACCGTGGGCACATGTTGAAAAGCTGATTGCTGCCTGGAGGGATGGCAGCCACAGCAGGGGAGGAGCAGGCACGCAGTCAATAAATATCATTCAGCAGCTTTCCAACACACGACTGACCTAGTTTTCCCTACTGGGACAGGCGTAGCCGGGCTGGTGTGAGCCTTGGGCTGATGTGGGTTGCTCGTGGGAAGCAGACCCTGCAGCATTCCCTCTCAAGCTTACCAACACAGCTACGGCTGCGATTTTGTGCTTAAATGCCAAGCTCCTTGCCCAAGCATCAAATCCGTTACCCCGTTTTACCTTCTGTGAGTTTAAGGGTGGGGTTTTGGCTGTTAGACTGTACTACAGACTTTGCCTAAAGAATTCTATGGGGCAAAAGGCAGCCACTGTTCCCATAGCAAATTCTATAGACTTCAAAAGGACCTGGGTCTAAATGTTCACTGTCAGAACAAGAATGGCCTGTTCCTAACCCAGCCTTCACCAGGCTTTGGTTATTCGTCAGTACTGGTCCACTTAAGGCACCTCATTCAAAACTCACACAAATTGCTTCACTGTTTTGGCTTTTCATATGCTTAATTCTGTGTCATTTTAAACTACTGGACCTTTCATGACAGTAAAATTCTAAGTTTAATGGAGAAGGGGTGGTATTTCATTTGCAATAAGGAAACAGGTTAAAAATGAGATTTTTGAGGAATCGTAAGTAAATTAGGTCTCCTAACCTTGCTGAGTTGCAGTAAGACTTGGGCATTTTAGCTTAAAATTCTAGCCTAAAAATACACTCATGTGACCTCTGAGAAACTACCTAAAGCCAGTGGTAAGAATTTATTTTGGCAGATAACCAACATCTTCCTATAGCACGAAAGAAAACTTGCTTTATTCTGAGCTAAGTGTCAATTCAGATGGGGAATTGAAAAGTAGAATACAAAGATTTAAAATGACATTAGTGTCGCAACTGTTATATAGTCACTGTCTGCAATAATAACTGCAGTTACTCAGGATTTTCTTAATATAGCTTTTCAGTGGAAAAATTTTCAGATTGAGGGGAAGTGTACTAGTTCTGATAATGTTTACTTGCATCAAAAGTTTCTGCTGTAGGCCACAGGCAGCATCCTGTTGAAAAGAAAAAAAAAAATAAATGAGTTTTTGCATTAGCTTCAATTTCTGTTCTGCCCGATTCCTTTGGCTGTTCTGAGACTTGTATTTTCTCTTATACTTTTTGGAAAAAATACCATATATTGAAAGGGAATATTTCAAAACCCACAGCAATTTTCACAGGAGAGGAGTACTACTTTTTGACTAATAGTGCAATGAAAATATGCATGGCCCCTATCTATCGTAGATGATCTGAAGGAGATTTTTCTCTTTGGGCACCCAAGTTGTAGGATGACCATCTGTGAATTACTTGAAACATTTCACATTGTTTATACACGCACACATAAAACTATGAAAATTAATTTCATAGGTAATTTGGGAAGCTATTGGATCTCTTTACAGCAGACATCTTGGCATATTATGGTTTCAGAGCTTTTACTGTAATTCCTGTATTACATACTTTTTTTTTTTTTTTTTTCTCCTCAGAAATTTTTCCAAGAGATTCCAGTCTAAAAGACAAATTCATAAAACATTTTACAGGTAAGGCAGCTGCTTGCTCTTAACTTACCTCCATATGCATATTCTAAGTAGCCACGAGAGTCACTCCATCAGCTTTTTTGAGGTTCTGCACCAAGGTTAACATTTGTGAAGTTAAATATGCATTGTTTAGGATTTGAAGTTTTTATAGAGCTCTAATTACTTTTAAGTTTGAGTCTCTCTTTGAATAATCTAGCCTAAAATAACTTTTAAAACACGGTAAGTTATAACATTCATGATTTAAAAACTACTATTTCATATTGTTGCTTGTTTTGCAGCTATACTACAAGCTTAGTAGTTGTAGGTACTGAATGTATACATGTCTGTATGCTATAGGTCCTGCATTGTATATCTACGTGCAAACAACTTGCAGTATGGTGTTACAAGTGTAATATGTGTGAGCACCTATCTGCTGTCTCTGGCAAGTAATATTTTAATGAGAGAACTCAGTACATTTTTGATTTTAAGTATAGATATATTTTTACATAATTTTTGTCAGTTCTATCATATCTATTTTCAAGTTCACTAATTTTAAGAATTCTTGTGAGACTTCATATATCTTTCAGAAGCAGACCTTTGTGGCCATGTAAATTTTCACTATAATAGGGAAACACATTTGTTTCCATCTCATGATGTATATGTGTGGATGCTTATTTTAACAAGGCAAATAGAAAAAGGAAGGATTAAACAGTGTAAATGCATCAGGAAAATAATTTTCTATTTCAAATATGAAAGTTTAACATGACTACAGTCAAGTACTTGCACTTGAAAACTGAGATGGAGTTGTATAATGAATTTACCTTTGGGACTGTATTTTGTAACAGCTGGGAGAATACTGTAAACTCTGAATATAAGCAAAAAGACTTGCCAACAGCGAGATGCTTACACTGATTCTTTGCTCTCCAGTTCCAAATGTTCTGTAATTCAGAAAAGTGAAGGTCTCAGAGTATGACACTGCAAATCTTTTGGTGATTTTCAACATTATTGGGATTAGTGAAACTAAAACCTAGAGAAATAGTTGGTGGTTGGAGCACGAGAAAGAGAATTGGAAATAATTGTACATTTCCTCTTTGCTGGAAATTTCAGACAGTCCTTGGCAAGAAGGAAGATGATTTGTTGTCTCTTTTGCATGAGGGAGGTGTCCTCAAACCTTTAGGATAAGCACAACTTTAAGGATCTGCCTGCCAACCGCTAACTGCAGCTGAACAGCATTGACAGGGAATGTGGCACACCCAGCTGGCCCTTCACTCTTACACCAAACAAGAGTAATGATGCACCGTACCATTTTCAGTCCATATGAAAAAGAAATTAAAAGAACATATAGATTCCAACTATGTTGTCCTATGTAGCATAGGAATACTGAAAATTGCTCTCCTGGGGAGGACAGACAGAAAGATTTACTTATGTTGATACTTACTCCATTTCCTTTTCATCTCTAACTTTGGAAACTCGTCAGCTACCATAAAAAGCTCAACCTAAGAATCTGGGGTAGCTAAATAGTGAATACAGAACAAGTTTCATTACTCCAAAACAACAGTGAAAAACAACCATGAGTTTCACAGAAGGTATTCTGAGAATACTAAGTCATAGACAAGAAAAAGAGCAGAAAGTACTTGAAGGCCTGTTTCTGGAACCATTATTTAAATTAATACTCCTTTTCTGCATTAGTAGTTGCCATCAAAATTGCTGAAATTATTTGACTAACATTAGATGGAATGGATAAAGAAAGCAAGTTCATTCCAAAATTATTGAAGTTTATTTCTTTGTTGGCTCAGAATTTCTGCTTACATTTTTTTTTTTTTTAAATTATGCTAGGATCTTCAGCGATGTGTTTTTATGCCCCCCGTTTTTTTTTTTTTCTCGTTTCCCCACAGTTTTATTAGGTCATGTAATCTGCAGACATTTTCTTAAAATACAGCCTAACTTTGTTTTTATTGATTCTGTTCAAATCATAATTCTTTTTCTAGCAATCTTAATTAAGTAAACTGTTCAGATTTAGTCTTTACTAGTTCAACAGTTAGAATATTCTAAACTAATGAGGTTGTAAAAAAGAGGAGAGAGGGGAAAATCAACATTATCTTTACAGTTTCGGGGTTAAGAAAATTATTGTACACTTCTAATATGCCAAGAACAGTAGACACATTTTAAAGCCAAATAAGAACCACGTGTAACAGTCCTCGACTATAGGAAAAATCATAAATAATCTTCTGAGTCATGAAGCTATCTATCAATTCAGCTTGAAAAGCCAGCTGACAGAGTGCTCTGTAAGGCACAAATAAAATTAACAGCCTATTTTTGATGGCAACGAAGAGAGCTAGAAAACCATATATTATCTGAAGGGACACAGAATTTATTTAGTGACAAAAGCTGATTCTATCTCGATATATCCTGGATAATTTCAACCTACATACTTTCTCTTGAGCCTAATTACTCAGGTAAACCATGGCAACAATCTTCCAGTCCAAAGTTGCAAAGACTGCTCTGTCAGTTTATTGAAAAGCTTATTTGTGGCTGAAAAATCTCATGAAATCTACAAATTAGTGTAAAATATATCTAATATTCAAGTGTATTCACTGTCACAGAGAAGAATATTCTCTCAAGTTTATGGTAGTTTGGATCTACTATCCAGACAGAATTGGCTTGGTATGTTTTACCAGGCTGATAAACCACCTTTCAAGTTGTGGAACAAATATTTTCTGCCCAGAAATGCTTACTATCTTCCTCTGACAAGAAAGTTAGTCAAAGCAGCATGCTTCATATCGATGCTTTTGTAGCACTGCCTGAAACAAGCTATTCCTATTCAGAGTTCCTATTGGTGCTGAATTTTGAGGATGCAAGTTAAATTTAGTCTTGTTCAGTTAGTGTCAATTTATGTCAGTATTTTCTGTTCAAATCACAGGAAACTCATCCCCACCTGTCAGTGGTAGTATTGCGAAGCAGGTTACATGATGCAAATACTACATTTTTGCTCTGCTTTTCAACTCAGATGCCATCAGTAATACCTTCCCCAGGCCATCAGCAATCATGGAAGGGTTCTTTGGCAACTTTATACCTTTGAGTCATGTTTTGGAGACCAGTAGCTATATATTCTTATAAAATATTAATGTGGGCAGATGACACTGATATCCAGAGAAGAGAGCCCAGGCTGGAAGAGCAGAGACACAGAACACTGCTCCCTGGGTACACAGGGAGTTGCCTCACCCAAACACATACTGCCATCTGCACCCTTTCTTGCTAGGACTACTTTAACAGGAGACCAGGTTCCTAGGTGCTATTCAGCTGTTTGTTTTTGTTTTCTTTTTTCCTGTTTTTTTTTTTTTTTTTTTCCTCAACACCCACATTGTATATTAAGAACTTCATAAAGTGCAAATTAAAATCATTAATACACAAAGCTACTTCATCTTTCTAGGGCTGAGAAACTCATATTTGCTTAAAATGTTGCTTGTATTTATCTTTAGAAATAATATCTACATTCCATCTACATTACTCCTTCTACATTAGAATATTTACTAGTGAGCAAAGGAAATTCTGTTGTAGTTATATCATTCTATTTTTCACTGTATAAGAAATTTTACTGTTAATTTTGAATTACTGAAATTTCAAGGCTAAGCCAGTCCTTTGTTTTCAAAGGCCATTTTTCTGTTATTCAGGTCATGAGCATAATAGCATAGCATGAATATTTCTTTCTGTTATTTCAGTAGCATTGTTATACTTGTGTTGCATCATAATTGTTTAAGGTGTAGTAAAAAATTAAATTTTAATTTGTCAAAACACATGGAAATTAATTCTATGTGTTTATATCATTCATTTAAGCTGCAAAGCAGTGACACTGAAAGCTTGTGGTTAACTCCTGCTGACTTTCAAACAGGGCCAGTCACATTTTCATCAGAGTGTAGCAAGCACTTCCATCGACTGTATCACAACACAAGAGACTGCTCAACACCAGCCTGTAAGTAGTAATTAAAGTACCTTATAATGCTAGCTGTGATACTTGTTTAAAAGCAACTTACCTTTCCTAATAAGTGTTTGATGCTCTGGTCCTTTTGTAACTGTTACTCTTTACTCTAGCACTATACTACAAAATATACCCAAGATCTTCTAATATACAAAGGTTTTCTATTAATGCACTTGCAGTCAGCTGCATATAATGGAGTTCCTTCGAAGTGAGACTAACATAAATGAAATGAAAACTACATTCTGAAAAACCAGTTGGGCATCCCTTTGAAGAGGGCAGATATGAAGCCATGTTCTCCTTCATGCTCCTTTTACCTCTATTTATTAACTTGTGCGATAAGATAAAATCTGAACTATATTCTACATTCTCTTAACACTCAATGGTATGATTATATCTTAGTTTTTAGTATATTTCAGTTTGGAATTAGTTTTCTGTTATATTCCCATTGTTAAAGAACATAAAATCGATTAATTAATAATTTCTATTATTGATACATGTGGTTCTTATCAAACAATATTCCAGTATGAGATTGACAGAAGTATCACTTTAACACAGCCTGAATATAATTTTGTCAAAGAAATTGAAAAATAAATTGTCTCGAGATGTTGTTAAATGGATAAAACAAGCAAGCAAAACAAACAAACAAATAAACAAACCCGAACAAAATGGAATTTACTTAAAAAGAAGGTATTTCAGCTTTCTCCAGTGCAATGGACAATCAAAGTGAGTAGAAAAGAAGCCATACGATTTAATTAGAAAAGTTGAATCTCATTAGTGATGTGTAAGCACAGACTATGGACCAAGGTGCTTTGGAAAGTTTTCTGGATTTAACATGAAAAAATAATGAGACTTCTTGTCTGCATCACTTAGAAAGATGGTAAGCATTTTTTGTGAGTAGCTGAGATGCTCTCTCACCAAAGTTCAGCACCTCGGAGGACCTGGCTTCTGAAAGGGGCTGGAGCAGCCCTTGTCTCCATCCGGCCTTACACTGATCAGAAGTTGGAATGTAGAAATCCATGGCTAATCCTCAAAAGATACGCATAGAGATTTGTAAGTAGGCATATAAGAAGGCTAGTCATATATCTATTACATGCTGCATAACAAAAATACCATGCATGTTGAATATTTCATACCTTGATACATGGATCCAGACAACATGAACATTATTTGGACTCCCCTGTATTGCCTGAGTGCTTCATTTTATTTGTGAAGAAACACAGTCATAATATTTCTCTTCTAATTAAATAGCTTTTCTCTGAATTTAAAAACAAGATTGTGGTTAGGACTGTGTGAAGAACTGACTTTTAAGTTCAACTATCAAAACAAAATGTAAAATAAAAAATGCAATTAAAACCAAAGCAGGTTTTTTTTTTCCCCCCCTTTACATAAGCCAAACCCAAAGCAGACAATGAGTTTCATTCAACCTGAAATGTACTGTCAATCTAAAAAGGAGAGCTAAATCCTCAGAACTGTCTCCACCTTATCCAGCAGTCAGGGTTTAGAATAACTATGAAGGCTGATCATAGCCAGGATCTTTTTCTATCTCTTTAGAGGCATTTAATATTTTCTTTCAAGGACACCTTAGCCACCATAGGATGTTTGAAGATGAGTTGCTTCCTCTCCTGATGACATAGTTATATTCTGTACAAGCATTTCCTGAAGAATTGAACCCAGGTTAGCATTCAGTCCCTTGCTGTTTGGCACAATTTCTATTAAGTTTTACTAAAATACTTGCCAATCAAGAGAAGAAAATTGCACCTATTGCACCTAAGTATTTCTTGTAACCAAATAGTTAGATCTTTCCATCAAAAAGGACAGCAGTGGTTCAGAAGCCACTTGGCCGAGTAGTTATTTGAACCAAGGACACCAGCGAGAGAGATAGCAAGTAGGACACTAGTATCTCTAGCCTGATGATAAGGAGATGTACTTAGACATGGAAAATACAGATTTCCATCAATGTTAATGCTAAGTGGAACAATAAAATGTTTGAAAGAGCTTGACTTCAAGCTAACCTATAGTCTTCTGGTTAGAATAGCCTCCCAGTTAATGAGTTAAATTCCTTCAAGTAAAGTTGAGAGTTGAACCTGGTCTTGCAAGTCTTAGGAGGAAACTACCTGGTAGAAAATTAATTGCTACCTTCACTCACATTTCCTCTAGAACCATGGCTAGGATAAGATACAGTATAAGTTTGCATCTCACACACAAATTTCATGAATTTCCATCAGCGAATGGTTTCACTGTGTAGAGTGTCTGAAATTCTAGTACAATTTCTAAATTTAATTTTATGCAGTTTTTTTGAGGGTATCTGGCAACTGAGATTCATTACTGATGTGGGTAATTTTGTTTTATAGATTACAAAAGGTGTGCAAGGTTGCTAACGAGATTAGCAATGAGCCCTTTGTGTACACAGTCCTAGGATGTTTGCTATGTAAGTATAATTTTTCCCACTCATTTTCTTACTTGTTGAAATGGTCTAGTGATTTACATCATACTTATACTTTGTTATCAGTTCATCAACATGCAGCTCTGGCACTACTGTAAGGACTGACTGATTCCTCATGGAAATCATACAGAAGTACAGATACCTCTGACAGGCCCCACTATCATTTCCTACAAGTCACTTGTGGCACCACAGTCCATAATTATGCACTGGCTGACCTCTTACTGTTCAAAATTTTAAGGAGGAATCTAGTTGGTGAAAGAAAAATGCACGAGAACTTCATCAACACATTTATTTCAGGCCTTTCAGAAGAGGGCTTTGTTGTTAATCCATGGAAGAAGCAGAACGTCTTGGTCTCAGGTCTGCCAATGCAATCTTCATAGATATCCTATCACTTTATTCATCTGTGGGACCACTTTTCATTCCCAGATTGTCTCCTGAGAATTTCTGTAAAGTTAAGACAACTTCATGGTGATGGAAGCAAACAAGATAAAGATGTGACAAAGCTAAAGGCTTCAAGTAAACAGGCTGTGGGAGGAACCAGTCCATTCTTGTTTATGAAGAACATGTTAAATGTGTTAATTAAATAGCATTGGCAATTAAACGGCATTGTCACTGATAAAAGGAATATCTTCAAGTGAGCTGTTTTCTCCAGTTGTTTGAATATCAATTAAATGGTTACATTTCCAACAGTAATTTGAAAAACTGCACTGGTTATTATTGACCAATAAAATATATAAAATGAATGAAATTTATTTATTTAAATTTCTTCAAAGATGGTTTCCTTTCACCAGCTCCTCCTGACAAATACTGCAAGCTTGAAGTTTGGGGGAGTTGTGTGTGTCACTTCTTCCTGCACCAGGGCTTCAATTCATACTAATCAAGAATAAGAAAGGAAGAGTAGGATATGAGTCAGTGTTAGCAGATTTGATTTCCAAGTGGAGGTGGGATTAATTTTGGTGGCTGTGAGAAAATGCTTTGAAGAATATGGCGATATTTCAGTGCTGAGAAGAAATTATATCATTTCTTTCTCTTATTTTCTTTTCTTAACTATTTTCAGTCTGTTTGGCCTCTTCTCTTCCAGGTCTCGCAGATGGTTTTGAATATGTGGGGGGCACTGAATGAGAAACTGAGTAGGGATCTTATTACTTTGGCAGGATCTAATTTTCATGACTAAGGGCAGGAATCCTTTTCTGATTTTTTTTTGTTTTGTTTTGTTTTTGTTTGTTTGTTTTTTTTTTTTTTTTTTTTTTTTACTTAAAATAAAGATTTTTGAGGTGCCTAACTTCCTGTTTGTTTGTTAGTGTTCTCTTTCAAATCTCAGCTTTCTAAAACATCCCAGCACTCTAATTTTCTGCACTATCACCTATTAATATGTATTTTTTTCCTAATATGTACCGCTTTACACCTCTGGGTTCATGGCTCAGGTCTTCCAGAAAGATTTCTGGGTGTTCCAATACTTTTTCCCTTTTCTTTCAAGAGGATGAGTCAAAGATCTGCCTCCATATCCACAGTACAGAAGCATCCATCTCATCCTATTTCCATCTTTAAAATACAAAGGATCAAAAGTTGCTATGGTTTGCAAATCCAGGTGTTCTAATTTGCCTGCCAAAAATACACTCAAAGAGATGACATGAGGGGAAGGGAGTGTTTGAATGGTAAGCAATGTTAGCAGCTCATATGCGCTATGTTCACATAGTTTTATCTAGGCTTTCTCTCTACTTTGTTAAAAATAGAGAAAACAATAGAAAAAAAGTAGAGCTATGATCTGAGTGTTTCCCAGATGCCTCTGTGCTCCCTTACCCTATTTCTTCACCAAGTAGATAAAGTGACTAGTTTCCACGAGAGGTAAGACAGGCTCAGCTCTTCATGTTTGCTCATATCCAATACCTTTTTGGAATGGAAACATTTTCCTGAGCAGGATGAAGAGTGGCAGGAGTGGCTGTCTCTTCCCTCCAAACAGAATGGGCAGCACAGGCGTTGTATATGTTCATCCCCCAATAACACCACATTTCTAGCATGATTCCGTGATTGCGTCTGCTACATCTTTTGGCACGCAGGATCTGTTTCCTCACCACACTCGCACTAGCTTAGAGAAGACAGGGTCATAGTTCCTGTTTACTGTAAGGGAATTTGCCTTTGCTTTAACATCTGAGAGAGTCTTGGAGATTCTTGGTTGCCTTGAAGAAGGAGGCTCTCCCACCTGAAGGACTGACAACTATTTTTAAGCGTTGTTCCTGCATGCACTAAAATAGGCTGCATTTTCCTCATAAAAAAAGAACTGCAGTGCTGTTATGCGCATATGTGCCTCCCTCTCCTGTAAGTGTCCGGGTACGAAAACAGGAGAGGTAGTTTTTTCCTGTTGCAGATGAAGTTTTGCCAGGGAAAAGCCCATCTTCCCGCGGAAGCGGGCCGCGCAGGCGGGAGCGGGAGCGGCTGCTGCAGGACCATGGACAGCGCGCTCCCCGCGGAGGCTTGTTGGTGACGCCTCCAGAGTTGTTTTTTTTTTTTTTTTTTGGTGTTTTTTTTTTTTTTTTTGTTTTGTTTTTTGTTTGTTTTTCTTTTGTGTCTGTTTTGTTCGGTTTGGTTTGTTTTGGTTTGGTTTTTTTTTTTTTTTTTTTTTTTTTTTTTTCTGATTCCCATCCTTGCAAAAGGAAGTAACGCGGTTGCTGAAGCCCCGCCCCTAGAAATGCATGTGATTCTGTGCGCGGGCAATTGCCTCGTAAGACGCAGCAGCACAGACCACTGACGGTTAAACCTTTTAGCATCAACGCTGAGGACTTGCCACGGCAAAACTTATTAGTGGTCACGGGAGGGCAAGGCCCACTGGCATTCTGGAGTTAAGATTTATGCAAGCCACGGGAAAGTGTGATTTATAAACAGAATTATACCAAGTGGTCTGCCTGTGTGTTTTGGAAGTAGTTATAAAATGGCATGTTCTTTTCTCTTGCAGACTTTCTACTAAGGAGAGAATTCTGATTTGCCAAGAAAGTGCCTTGAAATCTTCCAAGACAGAGAAGACATCTTTTACCTTTTTGATTTACAACGTTTTGTTACTAGATGCATTTTATTTTCATATATTTGTTGGACATTCCATATTTGTGTGAAACATTATTTTATTTTAATTTGTAAATTTGTTGCCTATAGTTCAGACAAGCCAATTATTTAAATACATTGTATATAAAGAATACTAATGATATACTGATTAAATGTTATAACTGTATGCAGGGAGTTGGTAAAATTTTGCTGTTTCTCTTGTTCCATTGTATTTACATCATTCTGCTCAGGCTCTTACTGTCATTATTTGCACTAACTTGAAATGCAGAAGTCTATGTAACTGAAATCTGAATAAGCTCTAAGTGGGGAAGTTTTACTTGCCATGGAAGATATTTTATATTATGAAGCTTTGTTAATATATACATATATATTATTGCGCATCAAAACCAATTTGCTCAGAAATGCACCTTGCTTTCAGGAACATTTGTATGACTATTCTGGATTTTCATCAGTTACATTTGTACTGGCACTTATGGAAAGAGTTGCAAATAATGTAAATATAAAGACTGGAAAACTGCAATGCAGTTTTGGTGGAATAAAGAACATAAAAATAAACTATTTTTCAGGAGGGGTTATTTAAATTTAAGACATTACTTAATATAAATATTTATTTTTTCTGGTAAACTTGAAATATTTTTACACTGACAAACTTGTGAGTTTAGTATTTTACATCATTTCACTCTCAAATGGTAAATTTTATTCAGATATTTTTTCTTCAAGTGAATGAGGTACATAGAAAGATGCATCACGCACCCACTGTGAACAACAGAAGCCTTCTGTGAAGATGCAGAGAGAGTAATAAAATATCCCAGTAGAAGAGAAAATACTTTAAAATATAATATCATAAAACCAAGAGGTATAATGAATTAATTTGGCTGGTGACAGATCAAACTTAACTCTTTGGGAAGAATCCAAAGCACAATTGCTGCATCTTATTTAAAAACAAATTGTGATGATAGCATTTGTTACCCATCTGTCTCAGCTCTTTTATTGCAAGCTTATATGACTGCTTTACAAAGAACGCCGTAGGAAGTGAGGTTTTTATGGTCAGACCCAGGGTAATTGACAATGCACATTGATTACTGTGCCCAAATCACAATTCTGTTCACTAACTGGCTATTCAAGCTAATCCCCTCAGATTAGATGTTGTCTCTAGCCTTTCCCTCAGTGTGGGCTTCACGAGCCCCTTAACTTCTATGGCCAGCACTTTTCCCTCTGCAGAAGAGCAAGGGAAGCTCTGCCCCGGGATTCCCTGTCAATAGCAAACAGCTGCCTTATTATCCAAAGGGGTTTTCTTTCTTCTTTCTACATTGCTGAGTGTGTTTCAGCACCAAAGCTCTGCCATCTCCTGTGATGCACCAGGCAGTCCAGCCCACAGCTTGTGCAGCTACTGTCATGTTCTGTCTGGGAAACGATACATTACAGCAGCTGTTTCTAACCAGTGCCTTCGTCCTAGCTGTTGAAGTAGTTACTGCCTGGCTGGAAGGTCGTCCTGTGCTGTTTGTATTTATGCTTTGCACATAGGTGTTTTTCAAACGTTTGCCATTGTGTTCGTTTGGTAAGACCAAAGTTCTCAAGCCTCCATCTAAGCCACCCTGGAGGCATACTTTCCTACTGAAGATACAGTAGCATATGGGAAATCCTAGTGGCTGAACAGCGAGATAGACAGCCTTGTTTCTTTGTGAGTAACATACTTCACTGAAGGATTTTTGGCCAAAATATTTCAGTTAGAGGAGAAGGGATGAGGCCCAGAATAAAGATCAGAGGCTCCAAGGAAAATGTCTGCCTTTAGTCCTACTTTTGTATTTCCACTCTGATTTGTTTTCTTTTAAATTTTTTAAAAAGACTCTTCTTCCTCTCCTCAACAGACTGAAAAAATATAAAAGGAGAAGCAGAAAAAGTGTTTCTTATAACAGTGACCTTTTGTGATATCTGAATTCCAATGTGAAAGCCTAATTTGGGTTATTTAATATAATTTTGGGACTCAAATAAAAGCAGCGAGAGTAGGCAGCACTTATTTCACTGGAGTACGGGACTGAGCTCCCTATGCCAACATTTGCTGCTGGCCCACGTTTCACTTTTTTCCTTCCTTCATTAACCAACAGCTGAGCTTACCATCCAGTATTGGATATAACCTCCTCGTTGTCCCCATGAATACAAAAGCTTTAGCACCAGCTCACAGACAGGTGCTCAAAAAAATCAGATATAAGCTATCATTATTAAAAGTCCACCAGGTCAAGATTTATGAGGACAGAAAAGAGATGACTTGTTGTGGTTTGAACCTACTCAGCAGCCAAATGCCACCCAGTGGCTCACCCACCCTCCCCCCACTTGGGAATGGGGAGGGAATCGGAGGGGAAAAGGGAGACTCGCGGGTTGAGATAAAACCAGTTTAATAATAGTAACAGAATAATACACTGACAGCAGTATCAACAAGTAATGTACAATACAGCTGCTCACCCCCCGCTGACCAACACCTGCCTGCTCCCAGCTGGTGATCCCAAACACAACGGCCCCACAGCCACACTCCCAGAAGTGGCAGCCTCTCTTGGCCCTCTCCTGCCTTTATATAGTGAGCACAGTGTCACGTGACATGGGATATCGGCCAATCCGGGCCCAGCCCTCCAGCTGTGCTCCCCCCGCCCCCGCACACAGGTGAGGGCACTGGGACCTGGGGAGCCCCTGGGGTCTCAGGGTGCTGCAGCACTCCTCCCGCTACTAAAACGCACAGGAACTCTAGTCCAGCCCGAACCAGGACATGACTTCAGAGGAAAAACAGTGTTCAAAAACATGGAAGCTTCACTGTAAGTAAATAATACTTTGACAGACAAGTTTATACCATTTGATAACATGTGTTTTGCTTTTTGACCCATGGATGTGTATTATTTTCAACCATATCTTCATCACTTTACCATCCATGTAAAGTGTTATTAATGCAATTACATGACTTAATTTAATGGGTGTAATTAATTTAGCTTTGGTGCTCATTTGTACGTATCACTCCATAATTCCGTGGAAGTGCCATAATTCTGCCCTTTGCTTTAGTATCCGATTTATTTTCTTACTTACAGCATCATAAAATTTCTGTGCTCTCTTATTAATGACATTTCTGGTAAAGGAATAGTCCTGTCATTGAAATTTTTGTCAATTTTTACACTAAATATGGTGATTTTTGCATTTTGTGTTTGAAGCAACAAGTTCAAGAAATGGTTGCTACCTCAGCTACTACAAACAAAACTGGTATCTTATTTGAAATGTTCCTTGATGGTTATACACTCTTGGTTATGAAGCACATTTTGTAGCAGTCTTCTGTTTTCTGCAAAATTAACTCCTTTTATCTCATTTACCTCCCTTAGAACACATTGTTTAAATAGTACATATGTTAAATATTTTCAATTTATGTAACTGATATTCCTTTCCTAGTGACATTCACTTTGGCTACTGGTGAGCAATGAATTACGTTTTCACAGAAACATTTCACTTCCAGATCTCACCCTTTGGTAGAAAATTTTGGCTCAAATCCCATCATTATACATGTGCCTAAGTATGTAATATGACTTTTCTCATATGTATTGCTTTATTAATTTAATTTTCTCATCATTGTCCTGTTGTTCAGTATCTTAAGGTCTGTTAGCAACCTTTTACAGGTCAGCTTTCATCTTTGATACCCAGACTGACTTCATATCATTAACACTAATATTTACGATTGATTAATTTTTGATCTTGCTTCACGAGAGAGGGGTATATATTACATCTGGTTGTAAGAGAGGACTAAGAGAGAAAACAACCTACAGTCTTTCTTCTCCCTTTTGAAGCCTAATTCTCCCATTAAATATGCCCCTGCCTTACAGTGTTTTTCCTGCTCTGCCTAGAAGGTATGAAGAGCTACATAACTCATGCATATTCTGCATGGCACTTTGACGGCTTAGGTAGAAATATGGGTGAACCTACCCTTCATAGTTCCTTTGCAGGTTGCTCAGATGAAGGGATAGGGACAAAAATAGTGATTTCTTCCAATCATGCTTTTGGTTACATAAGACAATCTGATGCTTGCCTACCCAGATTTTCAAAACTAATAGACCTGCCAACCAAGCCCCTAGATTTGACACTCACCCTCATTCTGTACACAGGTAGGACTGTACCAATGTCTAAAAAACTGGAGCATGAAGATAATCTCTGACAACTTGCTTGCAGCTGACTGCGTAGGGAACTCAACAGGACATAGACCAGGTCTGCCTATGTTGCTGATAGAGCTCCTTTGTGCCACCTGCCTTGGTGCTATGGCATTCCCTCTGTCAGGGGTTCTGGACCTCAGTATCTTTACTGTAGGTCTAATTCCCTGGGAATGTTTTAGAACTGGTACTAAGATCTCTTTGGTAACATTTCTGATACCTGGAGTGAGACAGTGCAAGAACAAAAGTAACAATGCACTGAAAGCGAAGCTGTCCCTCTGATCCTTTAGGACCTATGGAAATCAAGAATTGTTGGGGTTTAATGTGAATACTGGTTTGGAGAAAATAACTTGCATGGGTAATTCCTACGGGAAGATCAAAGCTGCTACTGAAAATGGCATGGCACTAATGTATAGCATGTGCAGGAGGGATAGCTATAGAGCACAAGATGAGAAGCAAGGTGCTAAAAGAGACACAGGCACTGACCATTCGGATTCCTGAGAGCTACGGCACCACAGCTTAGGCAGTAATACTGTGCTGAGCTGTAAAGAGACAATAAAATGGATCTCATACAAAAACACTTGTGTAAGGGCAGAAGTAGAGCCACAGGTGTTCTTTCCCTGACCATTGTGGGAACTAACCAGAGCACACTCTTTATACCCTGCAGGGAGCAGTTTGCAATTCAGTTCTGCTCTTCAGTCTTTTTACCTACTATCTTTGCCTTTTGGAGATGAAGACACCCAGAAAGCTGCAGATGTTCTGCAGGATTTTGGCTAGAAAGGGATGGGCTCAGCCTGAGCATCTCAGCAAATGCTAATGATAGAGGATTTAAAAAAAAAAAACCTTGTAGCCTATTCTTATTTAAAAGGTTTAAAAAGAAGATGGAAAATAATCAATTTGGGATGTCTAGATATTTATCCTAAAGGTTGCAATGCAGGAATTCAGACAATGTATAAAAAAAGTACTTTTTCCGGACAATATATAGTATCAGTTGGTTTAAATTATTTAAATCCATGAGTGAATGATTTTGAAACAGTCTGACATACTCTGTTTGTTATACAAAGATGTGTTAATTGATATCACTAAAGAGGTCAGCTTGGCCCTTATGAAATTAATAGTATCTGAACAAACCTAAGTAATGTACTGTGGTAAGGATAAAACTGAAATATTCCTCACAAGTAATTCTGCCATATCACTCTAACAACATAGGCTCTGATAACATAGGCTCTCATGTCTGTCCCTTATGTCACATACTGTAAAAAGAGTAACTGGTCCAGTAGAGGAATGTACATCTTCATTATGCTTTACCGGGTTTCTATTTTTTTCATGTTTCATCTTTCTTCATTTAAATTATCAGCTGCTAGTTACACGA